CATTCCACTGTGTGGAAATTTCAAATTTGTAATCTGATTAAGGTGTTTGAGCAGTTACTTGAGTGGGCCTGCAGACACTTGTCACTGCAAACTATGTTCAAGTTCAAGATCTACAGAGTCCTGCAGATCTTCAGACCAATGCTGGGAAGGTTGCTTTGTTTTGTTGTTTCCTTTTGCCCTCCCCAGGTTCTGTTATTGAGCAAAGGTTCAAGCATGGCTAAAGCCAACACAATACACAGCATTGTGACTTTTCCCATGCAGACAAATGAATTCCAAATGATATCCAATATTATTCACCAATAGCTGCTTTACCTTGTTTAATACATACTGATCACTCTTGCCCTGCCATTTCAGTATCATTTGTACCTCACTGCTACAGTGCCCAAATGACCCTTCTTTTACTCTTTCCCTGCAACGCTCTGGTTTTAGGTGAGGTAAACCCTCAAAACTACAAGCATTTTGGGACACTCTTGCTTTGGGAGTCAAACTGAAGGGGTTTTATGTAGTGGAGGTTGCTATTCACTGAGTTCTGGTTTTGTGTCCTTTAAGATAAGCAATAAAATTAAGAGGCGTTTCAGGCTTCACATCTAAGTTAATGCCTCACCTTGACCCACGCTGCAAACTCTTCTAAGCCCATCAGCTTGAAACCAAAAAGCTTCCTACACCCAACAAGGAGGTTACTGTACAATTCACTGAGGCATTACAAACCTTCCCTGTCCCCAATTCCCAACCAGTCCATGGAATATCCTCCTTGGAAGCTATGGTGTCTCCTCAAACCACAGGCACATGGAGCTATCAACCCAGACTGACCAAACTACCCACAGGAACATTTTCCCTCTTTCCAAACTTACGTCCTCCTGCCACACAACCTCCTCTCTCTTCCACAGCACCAGGGCTGTCAGCCTGGAGATGAGACTGCCCCACAAGGAGCCTGCAAGGCAATTGCTGCAGCTCCAGCTGCCTCAGGGGACAGCCCTTGCTCCTGGCAGGCAGCTGGGATCCAGGATCAGCCACTGCAAAGACAGATACAAGACATCAGCTAAGCCTTCCAGCCACCTGCAGATATCTATCTGAATCCAGCTTTGGTTTTTTGGAGGTGGATTTATTTTCTCTTGTTTTCTTGCAAAGTCAAGGATCAAGAATCCACATTTCACTTTCTTTAGCAGCTGAACTTGGTGCCTTACTGGCTCGAAGTCACTTGGAACGCTGAGGGTTAGTGGGAGACCAAGGGAAAAGTCTCAGAAACTTCCCATCTGTGGTTAGAACTGACCTTAAGTGAACAGTTCCATGAATGATGGAGCAGTTTGCCCAGAGATTCAGCAGCACAACAAAAGGACATGCCCCATAAGCTGTTACCATCCCTGCCACTTGAAAACAAGGCAGAGATACTCGGCACAGTTTTCCTGAAGAGCACATTAAGACTTGTAATCTTATCTGTGGATTAGTTTTAAACTAACATTTAAATCAGTTGGTCTGAAATTTACCACCACTGGTAAGTGATGTTTAAATTAAGCAAATTCTCAACATAAATGTAGAGAGGAAGGATTACAGATGCTGTGCTAATTATATGCTAAGCTCTCCCAAACGTTAAAAGGCAAAAGGAAAAAAAACCCAAAACTCAGGAGTTAAGCAAAACCAACTCCTTCCACTAAAACTGCCCAAGCTCTGTCACATTATGCTTTTTGTCCTTCACAAGAACATTTAAAATGTTGGGACAACTTGGCACTGAGTAAAATCCATTAAAATATTTATAGCGTTAAGGAAGTGAATCTGCTCCTTTTGTAATTAGGAGTGAAGTGGCAGTTTCTGAAGTCAGAATCTGCAGCCACAGCAGGTTTAAGAGGGACCTTGTTAGGGACAATAAACCCTGGAGGAGTTCTCACTGTAGGGGCTCTCTTGTGCCAGAAAAGCAGAAATAGCAGGAACATGCTCACAAGTCACTAAACATCGGGGGCTGGCAGGACACTTTTTTATTCCCTACAATGTAAGAAGACAGTGCTCTCTAACACAGAATATACACAGCTAAGTGTACTTTGCAAAATGAAATATGGACCTTTTGTTTCAAATACATTGATATCCATCTGCTCTTTTAAGGAATTGTTAGCAGATTAAACTCCAGACTAAACTCCCTTCAGGAAATGCAGTATCAGAATAAGGCACTGCCTCAACAGCTCCCTGATTACTCACGGGTCAGAGCTGCACCACATTAGATGAGTTAGGTGCAGGTTAGTGAACAAAACTTGGAAATTTTCTTTCCTGGCTTTCCTTGCCTGACATTTAGAGACAACAACAACAACAAAAAAATCTTACTTGTAGTCATGAATTATTAGAGCTATCTGATCCAAAGAAACTACACAGTGGTAGATGGTATTAACTGTGATTTTCTCTATAAAAGCACTAGTTGTAGTCAGGTATACTGACTACAAACATCAAACAGATTCACTAAAAAGCTTCACTAATTTGACAACAGACTTAGTGTGAATGCTGATGTGCTTTAACAAAGTACCCAACCAGCAAGATGATGCTTGTTTCACTAGCAGAGAAGACAACGTTCTGAATAATTGAAAGAAGATAAAAATTGAAGCTTCAAGTATTCTGAGCTTTTGAAATCCTTACTCAGAGCTGCCCACATACTTTTAGCATCTACTGTTTTCCCAGTAAACTTTAAATTATACCATTAAATCTTTTATCTTCATCACAGCAGAGCCATCTCATTTCATGAAAAGACCCAAGAGTGCTTTCTGAACACTCAAGTATGCAAAGTTCCTGTCCAGCTTCGAGTTCTATTTGACTCCTACCCTCCTAAAGTTATGTAGAAAAAAAATCCTGAAATAGGGCAAATCCCAGGTTCCTGAGAACTCTGCATTTAAAAAATTGTAGGGAATCAGTCAGCAGGGCTTGGTGCACAGAAATACCTTTTTCCTTTCTAAATCTCCTATCAGAGAGGCAGCAGATTAAACCCACACAACCCAATACCCCCTCCCCACTCCTGTCTTTGTTTCTGTACTCATTCCCAACTCCATCAGTCTGCAACTCTCCCTTTGCATTGGGGTTTTCCCTCTCTGCTGCTGGGGAACCACTGGAGCAGACATTCCAGTGCCAAAGGAAAGGTTTCCATTCCTACTGTCCCAGAAGCAGCAGCATCCCCAGCTGGAAGCAACTGCCAGTCAGGGCTGAATGTCACCTGTCCTCAAGGGATCTCCTGCAGATGGATGTAAATAAAGCCTGCAGCTGACTGGGTCTCTCAGCAATGTTGTCTTCAGCTCCCCCTCTAACTCAGGGTGTATCCACAGGACAGGGCAGGTGGAAGGTCCCTCAACTGACTCGGACACCAGGGGGTTGTCGAGGTGGTGTGAAAGGCACAGAACCTGCAACAACAGGCAATTCACAAGGGTTAAAATTCAAAGCCTTTGTTCCAGACTTGAAGACGGCAAAAGTTACCAACTAAGACGAGTTAAGTGTTTATCAGTGTAAAAGGTAAACAGTTCGGGTTTCTGGTAACAAAGCAGTAAATTTTAATCTTTAATCGTAATTTAAAATGAAGTCTAATTGACAGTAAAATTCACGTGAAGGAAATCAGTAATTTTATTCTATCCCAACAGTCTGTACCCCTGTTTACTGTCAGGTAACTGCTGCACCATTTACATACTTGAGACCCAGAAATAAACATGAGAACCAGTTCAGTTTAATTAAACAGTTTACCACTAGACTCATTACCTACTTATGTTTTACACGATAATTTCGATAAATGAACCCTTTCAAAAGTTTATTTCTCCCCCCTCCCCCACCTGATAATCCTTATGTGTTTAAATTTAAAAAACAAACAAACCAAACACTTGTACAGAATCTAGGGAGAACAGGAGTTTATTGAGTTTTACCTGTCTGAAAAGTGCTGGTGAAGAGTTGCCATTTCATGCTTTGTCTATATAGAGAAGTCAAAAGAGAAACTGTTGCAAAAAAACAAGCTCATTTGAAAACTGAGTGTTTGTCCAGAAGTTCTTACCATTCCTAAGTGAACACAAATGTGAGAAGTTTGTACATGAAGCGACTCCTTTTCATTGTCAGATGCAACATCTACATTTAAGTTCCCTCACAACTATTAAAACACTTCCAGGCAGTATTAACACACGGAGAAGCAATTAGTCATATCTTCAAGGAGCCAGGTATCCCAGCTCCAAAAGTGCATCATTTCAAACATCAGTAATGGAATATTTGTAAAGAACATCTCATTCAGTATTAATGCATGCCATTATTACAAAAATACCCAGTGCATATCGCAGGAACAACAACTTTCTTCTGGAGACAACAAAAAGCATGCTGGATGGTATCAGATCAGTATAAATCTATTTTTAATGAGGTTTAAGACACTGTTCAAGTCCCATTAAGAGCAGCTTCCTCCAGCTGTGCACCAGGGTAAACTTGCACAGCTGTGAAAAGTTTTTCACTAATGTGGCTTAGACTGGCCTCAAACTTTTTTAAAGCAGGGCACTAGGACTGGATCTTGAATTTTAGAAATCCTTCATTTAATTGGTTTAAATAAAACATTAAAAACCACTGTAACAATTAGGTATAAAAGCCTATTAAGTAACAAATTTAGGCCTAGCTAGCAGAACGTACAGGTATTTACACAAATGCAGATTTGATGTGGTCTTTAATATTAACAAGATACCAGAATGTGGACCAAAAAAAACACCCCCTCAAGAGCAAAGCAAACCAAAGCCCTGGGGAAGAGGGGCATAAATCCCATGTCAGCACAGCTGCCCAAGGTCCAGGCCCAGGGAAGGCTCAGCCTGGGTTAATGTGAGCAGCAGGCACAGATAAACCAGGCTGGTTCCAGGCATTTCAGCAGCTGCATCTGCAGTGCCACTGCAGGCCAACAGGGTATGTCCCTGAAGCAGCTGATGACACCGATTCTCTAAAGGGATGATGATGAAATACACACAAAGCCCAAGATGAAGGAGCAGATGAAGGTGTTAAAATGATGCAACCAAACAGATATATAAATTAAACAGGAATGTTTAATCCAGACAATCCTTTCTTTTTCCTCTTTTTTTTTTTTTCCTTAAGCAGACGTTCCTCGAGAAACTTTTTAATTGGAAAATGAAAGCCTATTCCCACACTAGTGAAGCCACTTTTTTCAAGCAGCTCTGTTGCACAACTGTTACCACGACCCTAAACAACTTTTAATTGTTCTCTATCGATATTTCTGAACTAAAAAGTTTTAAAATATTGTATAGATTTTATTTGTGCTCCACATATCACAAGCAATTAACAACACAAAGGAAGGTTCGGTTCCTCAGCTAGAACACCAAACTCTACACCAAGTATTACATGGACACGACACTTGCACAGTGACAAGCACAGGGAAGTACTAGTTGAGCACTTACTCTCAGCAATCCACACCAACTCTTAAAATCCATTTCAGTTCTCCCACGCCACCCAGGCTACAATTTAAGGCATCTCCACGCAGCCATCCGTCCACCCACCCGCTCCCATACGCACCATTTACGCTGGAGGTGTTTACTCTCACAAAGAACTCACTATGTCCATCAGGTACCATTTATTATTTACCCCTCTAACTGTGTCAGCATTGAGATATGACAGTTAAACCAGTGTTAAATCAGTACAATATTTACAGAGCACAGCACATTAAGCTTGAGACACTCACTTTTGGGGGGGGGGGATAAAACCACGTTTTAGAACAGGACAAAGGTCACCATTATTATGCGTTTGAAAACAGCTATTTACAGGTCCCTATGACATAACTCTAGTCTGTACACTGTTCCAAGGGGGCAGGCAAAAGCAGGAGAGGCATTTATTTTAAGGGATTTTTAAACATACAATTTGGAAGCATATCATTATGCTACCCTGAACGCCACGAACCACCTCACCATTCTCCAAGGTGGCCTCAGATCCTAAGGATGGCGTGTCCAGCTGATACAAAACAGACAACACAACATTGACTTGGTGGAGAACATTTCCTCCAGCTATTCAGACATCTGAACTTTGAAGGCAATTCGTCCCAGAAACTTGTCACGGTCATCTTCGTTTTTTAAATTAGGTGAGCCCAGGATCTTACACTCAATTGCTATTTCTTCTTTGGTACTGTTGGGGTGAATTGCTAGTTGAACAGCCACTAGAGGCTGTAAATAGTGAGCCTAGTAAACAGAAAGATGGGGAAAATATTTGAGACCAGAGTAAGGTAGCATTACATTAACATTTAATCCATCAGAACAGTTAAGAGAAAAGCTAATCAAGAACCCAACTTTCCAAAGCACAACCTGACCCGGGTAAGACACTTTTTTTTTCCAAGTCAGTCAGGTAAACATTCTTCACTTTTTACCTAACCTATTGAAGATAATTTACGTCACAATATCTTCAGGAAGAGTATGACTTTAGCCTATATTAGGTCCAATTTTTCCAGAAACCTCCACTTGAAACCACCTCAGAAATTGGTGCCTTCCTTCCTGTCCATTCTGTTGTCTCCTCCCCTGGGTTTGGGTTTGGTTTGGGGGTGGGTGGCTGTAATTGCTACAGAACAGAACTTTCCTAGCAGGGTTGGAAGTGTCACTCAACAAATGCCAGTAAAGAAGCTCCTCTCCTACCCTAGGCCATTGTTGTTGGTTCAGCAAGAACCCACTGTAAAAGGTGTTCTCTGTTTGACAGCTCGACACAGAAACCTCTCCCTGGACATCCCGGCAGGGCCCTTCCTGCTCAGCCACATCTGGTGCAACAATCACAACTGGGGACTTTGCTCCCTCATAATAAAAATTAAAATTTAAAAATGAGAGCAGAACCAATCCTCCTTTTTTTGTCAACCCAATATTATACCTCACATCCAATTCCATTACTCTTATAAAGTGCTTACGAATTAAATAAGAGCTTATTTATTATACATTGTTAAGGCAGCATTTCATCCAGTGTTCATAAACTGTTTCTGTAATTTATTAATAGTTTTAGGTCAATATTGCTGACTGCTGATTAAGGAGAATTACTTATTTTCTTGGTAAGAATTCATAAGTAGAGGACTAAATACAACACACCAGTGTTATACAAGCATAAACCTTGAATTTTAATTGAACAAAATCTTGTGTTAAGATTCCCCCCCCCTCACTAATTTAGAGGACTCCTTAATACCTTTCTGTTGGTTTTAGGCATCTTCTTTACCAGAGAAAACACTACAGAATACTCAAAATCTCCTTAGCAAAAAATGATGCACCCTCAAAACTTTCCCCCTGTGAGGGTGGTACCACACTGGAGGTGCTGAATTTTCTAAAAATCAGAACTGCAATTCCCATCTTTCCTCAGGGAGAGAAGCCTTGTCACCACCAAGATTTTTTGAGGAAGTACACAAATTTCTGTGATGTTCTGAAATCAGATGTCCTTTTACTCAACAAAGATTTGGGGGAGGAGGAGAGAGAGCAGTATCCTCATTAACTGTGTCAGATCATCTGAAAAAGGGAACTTTCTCTAAGGTCATAGTTTGGCTCATTGTACTGAGCAGCAAAAGACAAACAACCATCCTGGATCACAAAATAGTAGATAGTAGTAGTATTTTTATGGCTTTTACCTTAGCACAAGGGCAGCAAATTTAGTTGAATCCTCTTTAACTCCTTTATAGAATAAAGTAATTTACAGTTCCACTCTGATATAATATAAAAATTTGGTTGCATAGCCAAGACATCAATCAGACTCTTGAGATCCAAATACTTAAACTCCTCACAGCTCTTCCCAGTGCCTCTTCTTTTTCTCACTACACTCATCTTATGAGATTCCAGCCTCACATGAACAAGAATCCCTAAAATCAGAGCCCCCAGTCCACATCAAGTGTTCTTCAGTTAGATAAATAGAATTTATGTCAGAATACAATGAGGATAGATGGACCAAGCAAGCAAAAGCGAAGATGATTATTAATAATAACAACATTTTAAAAAACCTCCATCTGCTACCTTGAAGTCCTTCATAAAACAAAGCAAAGAGAAAACGTGATTGTAGAGCCACAAACAAAGATAATCAACAATACCATAAGGAACTATAAACTTAATATCCTATACATAAGCCCCAAGGATTAACTATTAGAAACTGTATTGTAATAGAAAAATCGAGTTTAATTTCCTGCCTTCCCCTGCATTCGAAAAGATTCCAAAAAATATCAGTGCCCAAAAAAGAGCAGATGCTCTCAGTGCTGAGGCTACACGGCCACTTCTTCATTAGGACAATGACCAGTTCATTTCCTATGTCTGATAAAACATCTCTAACCTCAGCAAGCACTGAGCAACTTCTGCACATCAAATACTCCTTATGAGTACCTCGTTAGAGAGCTCAAACTTCAGAATCAATCTGAGATTGGTAACTGTAAATGCAAACAGAAGCACGACATTTACCACATGGAGAGCATCACCAAAGCAGACTTACATGCAAGCTTTTCCCATAGTATGGAAAGTACATCAAGTCTAACTCGCCATCAGTAGGAAAATACTTTATAGCAACCATGCCTTCATCCTGTAATTGGAGACAGCAACAAAATCCAAAGTTAACATCCGCTTGCACAGAAGTGAACACTAAATCAGAATTAAAACCCAACGATAAAGCGCAAGATACCTAAAAAAAATAAGGCAACTGACCTACAAACTCATAGAATAACTTTTAAAATAGATTTTTGGCAAAGAGTTACGTGCTGCACACATCTGCTACGGTGAGGATTAACAGTATATTTAAATTAGCAATCAAGATAGCTTGCCTTCATGCTTCCCTTATGAGGAGGACACTCACTGTCACGAATAATTTAACAACCAAAAATCACCCATATATAACTGTAACACCAAATATCCACAAGCAAGCCTGTGTGTTTCCTTCAAACACAGGCCACCTACAAAGAAATCCAAGTTTAAAATGGTGACGCTACAGAGTTGTGTGTGCCATCACCACCTCAGAGGAACAACACGGACACACGTGTGCCTTCTCACTCGGCTGTCCCTCCCAGCCCAAATTTGGGAATAAGAAGCAGCTACCTCCAAAGTTGCTGCCTAATTCCTGACTGAGGAGTGCTCAGTCTGTGAGATACACTAAAAATGTGGATGTGCTGAGCAGTCCAGACACAGACACCTCTCCCTACACACAGCACTCTTCAGGACTGTGTATCCTGGTAGGATGACAAACCACCAGCAAATGCCCACAGCTAACGTGGCTTTCTGTAATAAGATAAATATATCACCATAATCAAGGGAAATGCCATTAAAACAATCCCCCCCAATAGTAAACGTATCTTCAGACCATCACAGCTGGTTCAGTGTAACACACAAGTTCAAAGTGTATCAGCAACTGGCACTGCTTTCCTAGACTACCACATACAACAGCTGGGATTTTAAACAGCTACTCGACAGAAAACAGTGAAGAACAAACTACATCTCAAAATCACTTTTTTCTGACCTCCTCAAAAGAAAGTTTTTTAGGATATAGCCACATTCCCGTTCCTTTGCAGTTAAATGATTGCAATTCTTCGATACACATTTATTAAGTATTTTGAACCTTGAGCTAGCAAATATAATCACTAAGCAGAAATGGGTTGCTTTATGCCATTTTATTTTATTTAAAGCTCATGCAGCTGAAAACACTCGTTTTTCAAATATATTTCTGAAATAATGGTTAAATAATCAGAACAGCATAGGGAGGATAACCAGCGCCGTGTGGAGCAGCTGAACACCAGGCATGCACGCACTCACAACCAGGGAGGCACTGGGCTACCAGGGCAAGAGCAGAGGGCTTCTGGGACATGCAGCTGCCTGCCTCATGCAACTGCTGGGGGGCTTAATTCTAATTAATATCATTCATTCTAATTAATATCCCTACACAATTAAATAAAAACAAACCAAAAAACCACCCAAACAAGCCATCTTTGCTGAAGGGCTTCAAGACTCGGTCCACTAGTGAATGTCACTTCATCTGCTTATCATTTAGTTTCAACAAAGACTTACTGACAGTCAGCAAATCTAAAATAAGAACGTTTAGCTGGGCAGATGGACTTCGACCTCACTAACTTGGCCTTTATTAAAACTGTATCTTAGAAAGAATAATTTTCCAGATATTAAATAATATCCAAAGAGCCAAGGAAAGAAGTTGGCCAGGAATGGTCTGTAATCACTCGAGAAGAAGCAATGGTATCACTGCACAAGATAAAGAGCAGTGTGCTTCAATGGAAACTGGAAACCAACAAAGATTTCTGTCACAAAAAGCGAATTAACTCAGATCCTGACGGTGCTGACAGGAGCAAGGCAGTAGTGTCGTTCATACAAACATTCTTCACTCTTGTACACTAGAAGGTGATACCTGGTACAAAGTCAAGATGGTCACTGAAGAGAAAAAAGGGATGTATTTTGGAATTAAGGGGTTTTTTCCTTTTCTTTGGTTAAAAACCCTGCCATCAAATCTACCAGTTTTCAGTACAGGTAGATTTAACCTGAAAGAATACTGCAGCACAACGTTCCAGTGCATGTGGAGCTGCACACCCCCAGCCCCAAAGAGAAGACCTACAATGCTGATCTTCAAACGTGGAAACACCACCTTGGGTCGCTTTGTTTCTCTCTGTGGAGATCACCAAACCTACAGCAGATCAGTTGCTCCAGGGTGCAGAGGGAAGAACCTGTAAGTGGTGTCTGACATTGCAAACAGAATCTACAGAAAACACAGTGATGATGGACACCACTACGAGGGCAGAGGGGAAAGCATCCCCAACTGTAGGTGTGCTGACTTTGAACCACAGACCCACCTTTTTAGAAAAAATCCCAAACTACAGGGAGAAGAAAGAGGAATTGCCTTACAGGGGAACGCCTGAAGAACAGAAATTTCACCCTGAAAAACTTAAGTGATGTTTCAGGAGACAAAGACTGGCAGGATGTGCAGAGAAAAGCCATTCACCTCATTTTGTATCTGAGACAGCTGAAAAAACTCAGGTACCATTTCAGAGTCAGGTGGTGTTAAATCCAGGTAGACACTTGCCCAAATTGCTCTCAATTTATGTAAAAGTGATGCCAGGAAGTTCCACCTGACCAGGAGGAAGAGCTTCCCTCCTGTGCAGTGACCGAGGACAGGAACAGGTTGCCCAGAGGGGGTGGAGTCTCCCTCACTGGAGATGTTCAAGAGCTGTCTGGACCCAACCCTGTGCCATGTGCTCTGCTAGGATGACCCTGCTTAGCTCATCACCACAGAACTTCTAACTATATTCTATCTTTATTAAATAAATTCTGTAAGTAATTTGTGCTGACAGAAAGAGGATGCAAAAAAAAAGACCTATTATTTATTTTAGTGTATCTCAAAGGGTAAACAAAACAGCAAAAAACCCATCATTATCAAACTTATTCTTTTGCTACTGAAACCAGCTAAGAGGATAGAGAAAGGATCATCTGGAATTTGCTTACTACAGCTTTTACCACTGTCTCACAGAGCACCCAGACAAGAAAGCCCAAGAAACAGAATCATCATAAAATGGGATTTCCATCAATATTTTATAAATCACGTGAACATTAGTTCTCAGCACATTTCAGGTGGAAATGAAGATGACTGTCCTGGACCCTATTCAGTGTTTTCAGTAAGGACTTGTGAGATGTAAAACCAAGGTCACTGACTGCTGGGATCAGGGTTTAAGTGCAAAACACTACAGAGAACTTGATGCCGTGATGATAAAAATTACAGAGCAGGGACCAAAAATAGTAATAGGAAATTCAACTTCAAGAACTCACATCTACAAACACAGACTAGGAAACAACCAAAAGAAGGATCTAAATATCAGAATGATTAAAATAAGGACTCAGTGTATTACAAACAGCAAATCCACCTTGAGAAATGTTATTATTTCCAATGTGATTAAAAAGGGAGGAACTGTGCCATTAACTGTGGCCAACCTCTGTCCAGTCTGGGATATCGCATCACAAAAAAGTGATAAACTGACAAGTCAAAGAAAAAAGAGGCTACTAGAAGGAGCTTAATTGCTTTATTCTAAAACCCAAGTAATTCCTTCAAGAGAACAATGGCTTTCTTGAGAATGGAAGCAAAGAAAGTCTCAAAGAAGAAAAAGAATCAACCTCTGCTTGCAATGGAGAGATCAACACTTTCCAAGACTCCCCAAAAATCAAGTATTAAAATCTGTGCCTCCCACAGGTAGCTAAGGAAGAAGGCAGAAACCTTGCAAGTATTCTGTCTCTCACTGATGAGGTTTCCCAGCCTACTTCTATCAGTCCCCTCAAGCTCCAAGCCAGGACTGCGCCCTTTGCTCAAGCTACAAACTTACCAAGGGTTTCACTGCTCCCCAGGCAGTCTGGGAAAAACATCCATAATCAAAGTAATTATTATAATTGCCAGAAAACATTCTGCATAAATCCATCGATACACAACAAATATGCATCATTAGCTGTTATTGTAAGTAGTTTATACTTGATTGGAAGGCAACTTTTACTTGAGCAGTAACATTAGTTTCCACACACAGCATCTTACCCATCATTTATAAAACTGTCTAAGGTGCACTTGCAGCATGGAGAAAAAAATAAAAATAGAGGTTATGAAATGAGAAAACAAAATATAACTCACAATAAATAAATAAGACCACAAAGGACATGTATGTATTTTGCACAACTCTACAGCAAGACAGGTAGCTCAAACACATCTAAAGATGAAAGAACAACTGAAAAATATTTTTAAAAGTACACTGAAGAAATTAAAGACACTAAAACTAAATTAGACATACAGTAAGATGAAAGGCAAACAAAAATACAGAGTCTCTAACAAGAAGGAAAGAGAATAAATTACTTCACTATTCATCCTACTCATAAGGAAAATTAACTACTATTTCTTACAGTCAGGACTGACCTTGGGTGTGCACTGTATACGTGGTTCTCCCTCGGGCTTTAATCCAATTATCTAAAGGAGACAAAGTTACAATGTTTACACACCTTTTTCCCCTTTTCCAATCTCACAGGCTGAATTTGACTTTTTACCTCACTAAATGACAGAGTTCATACAGGGAGTAAATCTATTCAGTGGCACTTTTACCTGAACACAATTTTAAACTAGAACAAAGATTTAAAGCATGGTCAAGTTTAACAGTTTACTCAAATTAACTCAAATAGTTACAGTAACCACAGAAAAGACTGTTCTCTTATTTTACATGCAGCATGCATCATCACTGGCTCAAACCAATTAGCAATTCAAGTGATGTGTAACATCACCGAAAAGTCAAATAGTTGGTGAAGTTTTCACCACCTTTCACAGTGCAGGAGTTACAGAATCATTACATCCTACTTAGATTTCTGCATCACACATACGAAAAAAACCCACACTTTACTTGCAGAGTGGCCTAGAATCCATTTTGTACAACAGTAAGCAAAAGCAAAAAACAAATTACTTCTTAAAACAGGGGATTCAGGTATTTTGATACAAGTAGTCAAAGCCAATAGTATTAAGTATTAGAAATAATTAGAAAAGCCAATACTAATAAGTACTAGAATGCTCAAAAAGCTCACTTCGTTCTACTCTCTGAAAACATCAATGGCCAGAACCTTTCAGCAAATTACACTATTCTAGAAATGCAAACATCTCAAGTAGCAAACCGAACACGTATTTCACCCTTCCACATTAATTTTGCATACAGCAGTAGTTGGGAGAACCTAATACTAAGAATTAAAAAATAAGCAGCACTTACCCTGTTCATTTTCACAAGCACACAGGGAGTTCCTTTGGAATACCCAAAATTCGGATCTTCCTTTCCAGAGCACGGTCCCAGACTGGAGAGGTTGAATCGACAGGCCTTTTTCACAGCAGCATCATTCTGCTCAAAAATCTTCCCTTTGGTACAGTTAATGTTCTGGGACTGCTTGGAATCATTGTATGCTACGGAACACAAACAGCTTCTAAGTCAATGGCATAAAACAAAGCAGCAGCCAAAGCCTGCTGATGCCTATGTAAGTATATAATTTACAGTGCAACTTGTCAAACAGTTCTCTCAAAGAACTATTTTCAGAGCACTCTGTCTCCTACAGCCATCTTAACAAACACTTTTCCACCGCCCTTGAATGAAAGAATAAAAACAGTACTACAAAAGAAGTAATACCATCCTGCCTTTCAAACTGTAACAATAATCATAACTTTGTTAATTCCTATATATAAACTTATTATATTTTCAATCAAGTTTTCACCTGGGAACTGAATCAGTTTTCCCTTTGCACGTGTTCCTTTTACAGATGCACAGGAAAACTTGGAGTACTTCAATCAGTGCTATTAAATGGCCTCTACATTTACATCAGATGGTGCAATGGGTTTTATACTGAGACCCCAAGTCGTTTCTTTGTGAAGAATTTTCACTTTGGGGTGAAAATTAATAAACTGCAATTAATTTAATCTTTGTCAAACAGACACTTAGGTTCTCAAGGCTACAGGATGCTCAGTTATCAAATCATTTAGATTAAGACCAATTAGATAAGTCTTGACAAACTATGCCTCCAAATAAATACATGGCCTATGTTATTTTACATTACATTCTCTTGGCAGATGTGATTTCTACATCCTACAGTATTTAAATAACCACGTCACCAAAACACTGGACTAGGAGACAAAACTCTCCATTATGTCCTCCACTATTCCCCCTGCCCAGGGCTCCCTGTCCAATACAGACATCACTTTTTACCTTTCTTTGTAAAGTACAGACTTTATTAACACACATTTCTGGGGTAACCCTGAACTTGCACTGGTCTCCATTAGCAACCAGGAACTACAAGCAAAAAATGAAAGCAATGTTCTCAAGACAAAGATTCCGGAATTACTTGGGGAGATGGAAGTAACTTACATTCAAGGAAATTTTTAAGTGTGGTAACATATTCCAAATATGACTGGCTGTCACTCTTGTTAAAGTAAAATTCCAGTGCAGTGTCTGGCTTTGGTGAAATCATAAGTCCTTAAAAAGAAAAAGTGCAAGTTAGGAACTAACCAACTTCTCTTTCCTACACCACTCCAACCCATTCGATATATCCATAAATTGGAAAATGTCTATCTGCAAAGAAACATCAACTTTACCCCTGCATTCCACAGTACTGGAAGGTAGTTTGTGTTTGAAGCCAGTTATCAAAATCAACGTTACATTAATTACCACTTAAATCCAAGCCAGGGCATAGCTGCAATTCACAAAGCGAACCCAAGTGATTAGGAAAAGCAAAATCAGCAGCTTAATCAGTTTCAATCAAAGATATTTACCAATTCCCTTCCCATTTTCCATACTCAGCAAATTAAACATGAACAATAATTGAAATGATACCCAAACCCACAGCCAGAACACCTTCAGTTCAAGCAATGGTTCAAAGCTTTAGGCAGCACAGAGTGAAGCTATGATTGCATTTTTTCTCACAGAAACCCAGCATTTTAAAAAAGCATTTTTAAAATCTTGATTATGCATAAAGGTGGCTTGAAAGTTACCCCAGTCAAAACAGACAAGCCAAGGCAGTTTCTATTCTTCTCCTCCATGGCCTCCAACAGAAAGTTTGGGCCCCATCTGTTCCTTGTGGGGCAAGGAAGGGGCACAGTTAAAGCTCAGGGACTTTTCTGGAGCAGGTGAAGCGAAAGACACTCCTTGCTAACACCCAGCCTTCGCCATCAGCTGTGTCTACCAGACCAACAATGCTTCAGCTGCAGATGGAACAGCTCCACACCCCCAGACGCTGCAGGACAGTCCAAAGCTGTTCAGAAAAGGGTGTACGACTGATTGCTTTATACACAGCACCTGACTGTAGTCTTTGTTTAATATGAGTAAGATAAAAACCCAGCAGCTGTGATTAACAGGTGAATGTCCATGTATCTGTCTCTTCAAATATAGCTGAGAACTGACACTGCAGCCCCACCAAAAAAAAAACCCAACCAAAACAAAAGCATCACCACAAACACAAAACCCCAATCTATATTTTATCAGATTAACTTTTTCCTAAGTTGGAATATTAAAGACAAGTTTGGCATAAAAGAAAAAGTTAGTTGCAATTACAGCAGCAACCAACTGTACCAGCTTAGGATGCCATGTAGCTTCCTACTGTCTGGCAAAACTAATTAAAACTAGATTGCCAAAGGAACAGAATTTAATGAATAAAACTCATCTCCTCCTCCCCCATTAAAAAAAAAAAAAAAGAAAAAAAAATCAAGCCTTCTGAATACAAACTAAACATTTAAGATGATAATAACAAAGGTATAGACTAAACATTTATCACAAACATCTTTCAGATTCTAAAAAAAAAAAAAAATCCAGATATGATTTAATGCTTTTTTAACTCTAGATCTTTTCTAGGATTCCCAATAAATCATAGATCCTCTTTTCTGCAATAGCAGCAGTTAAATTATTTCCAGGGAAGCCACAACTAAATGCCTCAATGACTGACAGTCCATGTAAACCTACAAATACGAAATTTTAACTGCAGATTACTTTGTACCATTACATTTTCTGGCCTTCACACTGAACTGGGATTCAAGAAAATACAAGATAATTATTAGCAGGGCTGAAAAATCACTGAAGGTGTTTCACACACCAAGGGCTTTTGGGGCGTAAGAGATTATTATTATCTATGTTTCTCAAAGGGAATAATGACAAAATAATTCAACTAGTCATCAGTGAATGAAACAATTTGAAGAGATTTATCGCTTCAGTGAGACTTCAGAAATATCCTAAGAGGAAGGGAGGGACTTCTTGAATTCCAGTGGATCACAGTCTGCCCAACCACTACAGTGTAAATTCTACACAAAAAGCTGTTTAAAGGACTGATAGACTAGGAGAGACGCAGGGTTTGGGCTCTTCTAAAGGAGCAGAATTGACAGCCTCAGCACAGGATCACATTCAGGATTGTAAGAGAAATTACATTATATTGCAATTCCAGGAGGGATTTTAAAATAAAATCATCTGGATTTGATTTATGCTGTTACATCCCAGTGTACAAAGCAAGTCAAATTTCAATTATAAAGTAAAGCAATTGTGAGATTTCCAAGCACGTTTAACAAGAGGAAAACCATTGACCTACGCCATCCAGGTTTTGTGTGTAGAATTTGCTTTTATAATTTAAGGTTTTACAGCCTGGAACATTACATGTTTCACTGCAAGTGAAAAATGACAGAGTTAGAGAGAAAAATACTGAAACAGGAACAAGCAATTTTATTAACATTTATATGTACGAGCTACTAAAGACATGGTTAATAAAAAGGTTTAATTCAGAAATGTTACAGGAGTTCTTAAATTAAAAACTAATTGTGGCATACATAATTTTTTAAACAAACATCCCCTAGGACTTATTTCAAAGTCAAGAAAAATACCCTGAATTGCAAGAGAAATGTCACTCAAGTCCAGCATTAAATCACAGCTCCATCCACTGCCAAGGTTCTGACTTCCACAATGGAAATGGGGACACAAGATCAACTAAGCCACCTTTTTTTCCTCATTTTTTTCTTTTTAAATTATTCTTTCCAGCATCTAGGCCCATTCTTAGCTTGAAAAAAACAACATAAATCCTCAAAATCAGTTACGAGACAACACCTGTTAGAGAAGGCCAGAATGTTACACCAAACAAGTTCTGTTCAGAATCCAGAGAAGTTTATCACGTCGGTCCAACTGCAAATTTGCTCACACAAACATTACTCTGTCATCTTAAGTGTGGATGCAGCTCCAAGATGTTGGTCAATTTTAAGAGTTTTGAGTTTATAGATAGGGGAAAGTACTTAAAAAAATAAAGCTGTCTCACTTCCACCAAAATATTAATATTGCACCATTTAGTTTTGTGGTTTAAACATAAATTTGGTCCCTAAGATAAGTTATTAGAAAAATCGAGATATCAAATTTTCAGGTGGCCAGACCATTCAAGTAGCATATACAAATCAAACACTTACAGATTCTCCAGAAACAGTAACTAGAACACACTAATCTCTATGGTGTAGTTAAAGTACTCAGATTCATTTTTTAAACCTTTCAGAGCGAAAATTCTTAATATTTTTGCAATATGGAGTTACACCAAAACAGAGCCCGTGTCAGAATTTTGTGATATATTTTAACCAATCTTTAAAAAACAAATAAAAAAAAAAGTTGAAAAACAGTAGAAGGGGGGAAAAAAAAAAAAAAGACAAGCACCTTCTTTCTCATTTCTCCTTGTGCAGGGATTTTTCCTGTCACGTGCAGCCAGCAGTGGGACTGGATGGGCACAGACACAAAGGGAGCAGCAGCTCCAGGAGCAGGACACCACCTTCAGTGGCAGCTCCAATTTACATGGGCTTGGCTTCATCACAAAACAGGCCCCTCTCCCTGTAGCTGATCCCTACAGAAAAGGCCAACAAGCCTTGAAATCCACAGACATTCCATGTCAATTGAAAACTACCTGACAGTGAACTAAAAACCCACGGCCCTGACACGTCACACCCACAGCACAGCCCTCCTGGGCCTCCTCAAAGTACCCAACACTAACCAAGGCGGCCTTCCCTCTGATCCAAGAGAACTGGTTGATGGTGCCTTTAAAGCAATTGGATTCAGTTATAATCCCACTTCTCCAGCAGCACGTTGTCTGGATTTGCAGGTAAAACTGTGGGCAAATTCAACTGAAAAGAGCTTAGAGGAAAACACACCAAAAGGTAGCGCATACACACAAGAAGCTACTGCCTGAATTTATGCTGTAAGCACAGCAGGTTTTGCCTTTGCAACCTGCAAGTAACTGAGGAATAATCCCATTTTCCCATTAAGTAGTTCATACTTCCAACGAGCTCTCACATGAAACTCAGCTGTTAAACCAGACAGAGGTTGATGAAAAAATAAACACGGTGTTACCTGGACTAGAGATCCGGTCCCGATATTTTGGTATATCACTGCTCAGGGTCTGAAGCATCACCCACATTGTGAACGTGAAGAGTGCTGCTAGGAAGCCATAGAACACCAGGTAGAACAGCAAGATCAACCCTGGGAAGAAAAAAAAAAATAAAATTACTATTTTTGTTTTGAAACTAAACCCAGGAAATAGGCAATACAATGTTTGTATACACATATAATGCCCAGTGCACAACAATGCATACAAAGAGGTTTTCTTAATGCTTTCTGATTCTTAAAACTTACAGGGCGTTTTAGCATTTCTATTTTTAAGCAAGAAGCATTAAAAAGTGCTCCTTGGGCTACATAGGAAAGCTGGCAAAGATGACTAAGCAATGCGTTAGGAAAAAAAATAAAGCTTGACTTGCTTAAGGGAATTTTGGGTTTGTATCTGGAAAGGAAGGGGTTGTCGGGAAGATGAAAGAACTGACTGAAGAGATGAAATTATTACACTGGATCTCGACCAGGTAGGAAGCAATCAGTGCTTTCAAACCATAGTTGATCCATGAGGGAACTCCACACAGAGCACACATTCACACACAGGTCTTGTTACAAGAGACTCCTCAAGGAGAAAATGCTTTCTGTTGCAGATTTTGGAGAACAAACCAAGCCTTCTATTCAGATTTATCAGGTGTTTGCCTAACACATCCACCTGCTTTATCCATCTACCTCAGGGACCCGGCAACCTCAGTGGGGTTCACCAGTTACACAGATGGTACTTCCACTTGTTTCATTAACCCAGTGTACAATCCCAACCTAAGAGCGAGTGATTCTGTTCAAAGACTGAGCACCTGAGACTTAGGGACACATGTACAGATTGTCAAACAGAATGGCAGCCGAACAAGTACCGAGGAAATCAGATGTTTGGACACAGAGCCATCTCCAACACCTTTCTAATTCAACAGCAGAACCTAATGACACAAATTCAGTTTTTACAGACTAGTCTAGCTATATAAGGGTGCTATCAGAAGCCAGCGAAATAACCCAGGTAAAGAAGAGCACATGAAACCATTACACAACATGCTACCCCTGATATCTGATTAAATGCAGTATTTTTCAGCCTGCCACAGAAAAGGGCAGAGCAAAAGCAAACATGACTGTATCCCAGTACTGTCCACTGAAGATGACAGAAGGAAGCCTAATCCTTGGCTCCTGTCCCAGAAACTATGATTGCATTTTGCACTGAAATATTCAGTGCCAGCGTAACCCACAGTAACCCACGGCTGCTGAAGATACAAGCACCTGTACTGCTTCTGAAAGAATTCAGTGTACACCTATTAAAATAATGTGGTGATCCCCAAATTATCTTTCAGGTAACTTCTCTCCAGAAATCAGCTGAATGTTATTGGATCTTTGGCTTGGTTATAGTTTTTGATTTCACGTGTTGACAAAGTTACTTACCCATCTGCAAAAGTCTGAGAGTGATCAGGTACTTCAAATATATTTGGAACCAATGAGACGCAAGATTCCATGCAGCAATTAGGAGCAGCAAAGTGTGCAAACACAAAACCAGGCTCTAGAATGAACAAGAGAGCTCTGCATCTACTATAAACTATCTAAGGTTATTTAGGAGCTATTTGGGTGCTGAAAAGAGAATATAAAAACAAACAGTAGAAATCCTAGTCAACAAAACCTTTACAAAAATCGCATTTGTATTTGGCACGCCAGCAATCTGCTTTACTTATAAAGTTATAATTGCTTTAACTGGATCCAAAACAGAACAAGGATCTTCTAATTAATACCCAGTGTCTTCTGGGCATCACAAACAAAAAAGCTCCTCACAAAACCTTTGGTCAGCTCTCACTTGGATCCTTGTAAGTTAATCAATTACTGAATACACTTTCCTCAAGCTGTCTAGAAAGTACACTTGCCATCAAGTGACCAAGACATTCATCAAACAGTTCCAATGGAACAGAGAAAGAGTTTGACGTGGAGGACAAGACAAGCAGTTTCCATGGCAATTAGCAGAAAAGCAAGAAAGTCAGGGAAATCTTTTTTTCACTGAGCTATTTCGTAATACACCGTTATTTTAATTTCTAAAAGACGATGCCAAACTGCATGTGTGCACGCACACAATTCTTTTTAATCCTTATTTTAATGGAGCTGGGAAATGCACTGCACTGACCACTAAGCCACCCCATTGATGCTACTTTGCCACATTAAAAAGAGGGAAAAAAACAAACAACAACAACAAAAAACTCCTCTGCAACTTCCAACAGCCCCAAACTGAGTAAGCTGCTCTTTGTGAGCCTATTAGTTCTAATTATCCTAAGCTAATCACAATGAGCAAGCCATAACCTGTCAAAAAACCCTGCCAAAATAACTGCACATAACACTGGACTTCTTGTGAGGAAACAGGATGTACCCAAGCACCAGGGCAAAGCTATCCACATTTACTGCATGGGAAGCACAGCTACCACATCATGCAGCTCAGTTCAGTGACACAACATCTTGCTACACCAAAACTGTAACACGAGAAAAACCGAAACAAAATTCTGCATTACAATTTGCCTGGTTGTTTTGGTTTGTTTTTTCTTTTTGCAGGCCATCACAGTACCAAACCCCCTCCTTCATGTCCTAACCACAAGAACAAGCGAGTCAGCTTTGGAAAACTGCTATTTCTGAACCAACGTGCTGCTACCATCATCAGCTGGAATTCACTTGCAGGGATCAAAGCACTTCTCCACTGTTAAAATTAGAATTTCTGACTGGTGAATGCAAGGTATCACCTGGCCATCGTTTCCATGATGAACACGTGCTTTCCAAACTTTACACGGCAAAACTGATAAAAAGCATGTCAATCTGGCATAAAGCAGATGGGTAAATCTACCTGTATGCAATACCTGAGTAGATATATCCAGGTATCACAACACACACTGCCAAAGGCATGGAAGGAAATATTCACCGTTACCTGTAACAGCAAAAATTAAATGCTGTATTTCAGGTTTGTTGGATCCCATGCTGCACTGATCCTATCACCTGTATAGCCACTCTTCAGCATCTTTAACTAGTGGGATTTAAAGATCCAAGTAACGTTCCTACTGATTCCCACCGGTGCCAGGAACATCAAGGAATTTTAGTCCACCTGCAGATGGATTTCTTTCCTCAAACTAACATAAGTATACATTGTAAATAATCACTGATCATGTTTCAATTTTATTTCTTACACAACTTGAGAATTACTGTTTTCCAGATCTGGGGAACAGTAGGGGGAGGAAGAGGAAGACTCTGAAGAAATGTAACTTCAGGTCCACATTTTATTTTATGTCACAGTAAGCCAGGGCTCCACATTTAACATGGCTCCACCTCAGGAGATCATAAAAACCATCCAGTGCAGCACTTGCAAAGAACTGCATATCCACTGACACGGTAGAAAATTCGCCTAAAAATAAGGTGTTGGGGTTTGCTGGGGGGGTTTTTTGTTTGTTTGTAGTTCCAAGCACGTGTTTGTGCACTGAAGGGTACAGCTACCCATTCAACAGAAAATTCAGGAGGTCTGGATTTCTATGCAGTTCAAGACAACGCCACCTCCACCTCAAACACCTTGACAAAACCAGCTTTACAGAAAGACTTAAATACACTTGACATGAGATCTACTGTGACCACAGATGACGTACTACTAGAGTCTATATTGCCTTTTATTTTTTTGGCACAAATTATTTTTCTATAACCTCGTGTGAAAAGAATTTACTGCCTGTCCTGTAAGACCACAGACACACCTCAGTGTGTTGGTGAGCATCCCATTCCAGCACTTTCATGATGATGTCACTCCATTCCTACTCGAACTCCAGGCAGGCACAGCACCTTGCCATTACAGGCAGAGTCCAATTCTGATCTTCCTTTCACTTGCAGAAAGGCCTCATATGGCAGCCTGCCAAGTCCTCCTCTCTCTGCCCCACCTGATTAAATTCTGGGTGGACCCCAGGAAAGATCCTCCTTTCCCTTCACCTCTGCAAGGACTATCAGCACCCCTCGTGCCCTTCTGCTGGGAACACCACCACCTCCGGTCATCAACAGGTTTCCCAGCATTTTCTGTCTCTTTAATACAACCAATGATTATGTCAAAAAATTAAAAATAGGTTTGGGGGGGAGGGTGTGTAGGTTTGGAAACCAATTTGTGAAAGATTCAAACCGAATTATCCCTCAAGTCTGAAAAAAATGTGAAATTCCCCAGCTTTTTTTCCTCAAGAGGAGACATATTCTGGGGTTTTCGCTCCACTGAAACAGGCAACCCTTTCCCAAACCCAGAGGCAACACACCTCTGTTCCATGACAAATGTGAGTGTAGGAGCTGCTGGTGTTTGATCTCTTCACAAATGCTGGTGCAGAAATGGCAGACGGGAACACTCCTCTGCCACAGCACTGGGATTCACAGAGAATCACTGCCCTGCAGGTACAATTCACATGAGCCCCGGGGACTGCCTCAGACTAGGACACAACATGCACACGGTGGGAACAATTATTGAACAGTTTCTCTACTGCCTGTGCCTCATTTCTGCGAGCAAGATGTCTTGAGACAAGAGGAATATGCACAGCAGAACCAGAGCCAATGGAGCTCTCAACCGTGCTGCCCCTGGAGACATGAAAAGCCAGCAGACTGGGAACCAGAGCTCTCCTCTCCTACCTCCTTCAGGAAGAAGGAACAGTTGTCAGTGAGAGTTCTAAGCTCACACCAGGACTGCAAGGGCACAAATGAGACCAAAGCCTGCAGATTCTTCTGTGCCAAGAGCCACACAATTAGCGTCCTGCTATTAAAAAGTGAAACCAAACGCAAAGCCACACACCACGGCCTGGAACAGTCAGGCTCTAACTAAACTGAATTAAACAGGCACGCTATGGTAATCACAAAATGCCAAAACAAACAAATATTGATGAAAAAAACACGCTCAAAATGTGTAGCGACACTAAACATTCACCTCCTGATGTCCAGGCTGAGGAAATGCTTTATAGCACTAACCACATGCCAATCACCTAAACCCCTAGAGAAACCTTATTAATGAAATAGAATTATTCCAGCTGACTGCACAGAGTAAAATTATTCAAACTGTCTATATGTACTTTCTCAAAAACATCTTTTGACAAGTAGCTGTAGAAACTCAAATACCAACTAAGTCATCTCACTCATGTTTCCAGTGTTGGCCTGGGACTAACACGGACTAAGTGACTTGCCCTAACAGACAGGTTTAAACAGACAAGGCGGTTTCATCTTCACCTCTTGTCGAAAAAACTTCCAAGCTATTTCTAACATGCCTACAGCCTGTTCTCCTCAGACTCATGACACAGCCAGGCTTCTGCAATCCACACAGCCGGCCCACGCACTTGAGGAAACCTGCCTGCACAGAAAGATCAGGAGACAACAGCATAGTGGAAATTTCCTCTCCTTTGCTATTCAACCGGCAGAGTAGCTGCGAGCTCTTATTTCCATCTGAATGGAGGGGAACTCCTGTCAGAGCTCGGGCCCTCTCCTGATAGACGGGAGATATTGGCACGGCAGAGAAAGCACAGCCCGCTGAAAGCTCCTCCTCGCTATTTCAACATTAGCATTCATTGAGATTGTGTCAAGGCCAAGGATGTATTGGCCTGTTCCTTTACACCACGCTGAGATTCTTGTTGGTTTTGTAAGCACAACGATTTAAGTATCCCGACTACATCCAAGTTTTGGGAGGAGACGCAGCATTTTCTGAAGTCAGTAAATATGTCCCATGAGGGCTGAGGAAACATCCTAATATTAAGCATTTGTACAACGCTTTAATATGAGAAAACACACTCGGAAAATATAAATATTTTTACTGGAAGCAACGAGATTATGATAACATGCTTTCCAGCTCAGAGGAAAGCAATGGGATGACTACCTGAAAATAGGAAAACAAACACTGCCTTCACAGGCTTTACTGGAGAGCCTTCCTTTGAAAGCTTCCTTTAAGAAAATAAAAGGCCCAGAAGCCCCACGCTGGAACAAATTTAGCACGATGACGCACAACGACAGACAGCGCTCACTCCGGAATCGGGGCTCACGAACTTTTTTGGGGGTTTGGGGGGTTTTCTGGTGCTCCCCCTCCCCGTGCCACAGCCACCAGCACAAAGGCGATGGGCGCCCATTCATTGCGGATTCCCCGCGCCGCTGGAGCGGGGGGGGGGTCGCTGGCAGGGCCGGAGCTGCCCCGGCACGCGCGGGCTGCGGGGGCCACACGGCGGGCGGGGCCGCCCCGCACCTCACGGCCCGAGGCCCGGCACGGCCGCACCGCGGCGGCCCCCGGGGCGGCCCGTGCGGGGGAGGAGCCCGCGGGCCCGCAGCGGTGCCGGGGGGCGGTGAGCGGGCCCGGGGGGCGCTCCGGGATCGCTCCTCCCCTGCCCTGCCCTGCCCTGCCCTGCCGCCCCCTCCCCGCTGTCACCGACCGCGCTATTTTTAGCGCTCGGTTGTGGCGGGCGCCGGGCGCGTGCGCCGCCTCACCTGGCGCGCGCCGCCCCCGCATCCCCCCGCGCGGACCCTCCCGCACCCCGCCCCGCACGGCCCCCGGCCCTTCCCCTCTGCTCCCGCGCTCCCACCGCTTCCCCGCCGCCCCCCTCGGCTCGGCTGGCGCCGCGCCCCGCCCTTGTGCCCCTCAGGGCGGCAGCGCTCACCCCAGCTCTTGGCCGTGCGCCCCAGGAACTCGCCGCTGCTGGGGTTGTAGATGAACTGCCGCCACTCGGCCATGCTCTGGCGGAACGGCTTCTTGGTCTCCTTGGCCATGGCGAGGCGAGCGGCGCGCACCCTGCGGAGGAGGCTCCCGGCAGAGAGAGCCGCAGCCCGCCCGCTCCAACCGCTGAGTGAGCGCGGCCGCGGCGCCCGGCGGGACAGCGGGCGGGGGCGGGGCGCGAGGCCCGGGACCGCCCCTCAGGCCTGGCCCCGCCCCCGCGCCGGGCGGGACCCGCCGCGCGCCGCCCGAGGCCAATCCGCGCCCGCCGCGCGCGCGCGCGCGCCCCCCGGCGGCTCGCGCCGCCCGCTGCGGCCGCACGCGGCCCTGCCTCGCGCCAGCCCCGGCCCCGCGCGCCCATCCCCATCCCCGTC